CACGATAAAAATTCCCCGACCTAATGCCTAGGTTTCTATCACAAACAATTGCTCTATTGCAGTTTCATATTAATGTGATATATAAATTGTAAAATGGTCATTACTCTCTTATTATGGTTAATAGTCATATAAACATTGTTATTAAAATATCACATAAGTTGCTTTCTGATAAATTTAGACGCATTATGCGAAATAAAATGTTTTGCAAACGCTCCAATCACTTATCGACATGTAAACGCACTAAACCGATTTCGCAGCGTTGACACATTGTCACCTTGAAACTTATTTAAACTGGGAACTGACATTTGTATTAATTTTGACACTGAATCAATTTGTGGCATTTCAAATCTTTATAAATCCTTTGGCCCCGCATACTGTAAATCAACAACTGTTTGTTTCAAAACAAAATTATTCATTTTACGAGTAGATAAAGGCAATTTTGGTATATAAAGATGCCCAAACAGTTAAATAGTCGGTGTAAGGAACTCGTGGCCTCGTTAATGCACTACTTTGAGCAAGAAAGGGACAACAACGGGCCTTTGTTGCCTTTAAATGCTGTTCAAGAGGTAGGTTACTAATAATTATATGTAATGTATATTAATAATAGTGAAATTTTATTTCATTTTTTGTAGCGTGTTGCTGCTGCTTTAAAAATTAGTTTAAGGACAGTTAGTCGTATTTCCGAGGGTGTGAAAAGTGATGCAAATTTAGAATCGCCCAAGAAAAAGCGGAGTTATATTAAACGTGTAACCAACACAGCGACATTGGATACAAGTGCCATTCGAGAAGTGATCTATAATATGTATCACAAAAGTAAGATCTTATTATAATAACTTATCAGAAATTTGCATTAATTTGTTAACTAAATTATAATGTCATATTACACATGGTTTCAGAAGAACAAGTTACGATACAAACTTTATGGTCTCGATTAAGAGATAGGGCATTATTTGATGGTAGTGCCACGTCTTTAAGGCGGTTGCTTAGAGATCTTGGATTTAAGTGGCTTAAGGACAATCCGCGACGAGGGCTCATGGAACTACCAAGTATAGCTTTGAAAAGGGTGGAATTTCTAAGGCAATACAATCAAGCCAAGGTTGAGGCCTTATACCAGTTTGTCTTCCTCGATGAAACTTGGATATTTCAAAATGGGACCATAGGTCGCTCTTGGCAAAATGGAAACCAAAAAAGCGTGAAAGCTATTAAAACAGATGGTAAAAGGTATGTACTTTTACACAATTTGCACTATAAAATTTAAAACTAATATATTTTAGATACATTATATTACATGCTGGAAATGAAAATGGGTTTATTGAGGGTAGTGAAGCGATATTTTCTTCGAAAACAAAATTGAGCGATTACCATGGAGAGATGAACCAGGACAATTTTTTGAAATGGTTTCAACATCAGTTATTAGAAAAATTGGAGAGTCCATCTATGATTATACTGGATAACGCCCCTTATCACAGCATGATATTGAACAAAGTGCCCAACAATGCATGGACAAAAAAAAATATCCAAGACTGGTTGACAAATCAAAACATACCATTTTTAAACACAATGTTTAAAACAGAGCTATTGAGTATTGTTGCTCGGTACATAATGCTTCTTAATTATATATATTTTGGTCGACAGTTTATATTTCTTTTGTTTATTCCTATTCTTAAAATAACAGCTTTTTTAGAAACAAACCACCTAAAATATACGTGATTGATGAATTGGCGGAACAACATGGGCACAAAGTTCTTCGTCTGCCTCCTTACCATTGTATATTTAACCCTATTGAGTTAATTTGGGGCATAGCAAAAGGTTACTATAACAGACATATTGGTAGAGATGGTAACAGTGAAAAAGACTGTTTGGATATGTGGAACGAGGCTCTACAAACGGTTACCCCAGACATGTGGAAAAATAGTGTTCGACATACTGAGCAAGAAATTTTTAAATGATATGAAAGAGAACGAATTTTTGATCGACCAGACATCGAACCTTTAATAATCAACTTTGAGAGTGATGAAGATTCAGATTCAGACAGCGCTGAAGAAAGAAACTCCGACTAACTTTATTGTACAGAAAAAGCTTACACCAGTAGCTTACCTAATTTTAGAATGCATTTTTCTGTATGAATTCTGTAAAATAAATACCATGCATAAAATTTGGAGGATCCCATTTGGATTTTTATTCAGTACCTTTAAGCTATCAATTAAATATGGTAGTTTCATAGTGTCATCTGATCAATAATTGTCATACTTAATGATTATGCAAGTACAGATCTATAATTTTATTATACTATTATTTTTGTTCTCATTTGAGGTTAATATTGCTTATAAACCTAGATATGTAAATAATAAATTTTATTATTTTACAAAAAGTTTGGCAACAATGTAAATTTTTCAACACACCCACCTTGATGACGTGCACGCCACTTTGTTTGGCGTTGACTATAGACAATAAAATTCTGTTTGTCTCTGTCTAACATATCCGAAACTTCATTAAAAATATTCACAAACCGCTGTCATTAGTCATTAGTCTAAAATGATGACGTAATCGTCATCTTTCGTGATTTCGACTATACACAGGTTGACTAATACCTGATAGGATTACGTTGCAAAAAAAAAACAACAAAAAACACAAGACCGGAATGTAAAGTTAAGAAATTCTCATCCATACAGAAGATATTTTACTTATATTGGTGAATCGTCGTCCAATACGATCATCGTTTGAGTCAGATTGGGTGTGTCTATTTGTTGTTTTTTGTAGCTCGCTGGACTTGTATTGGTTGGTTAGGATGATGAATCGGTATTTGTGAATGTTATGAGAAAATTGAGCACGGAATAAGATCGAGGACGAGATGCTTTCCTCTGTAATCTTGTTTCAACCGTTGGAACATACAAATATAGCGTTGAGTAAGTTGACTCTGCACTTCGCACGCCACGCTGTCATCAGGTTAGCTCCAGTTAGCTCTTCTGAGAAAAAGTATAACCCTGAGACGAATTGACGTACGGCCACCGACGACGACGCTTGTCCGTCGGGCGACGACGTCGCACGTATCGAAACCCGACTGCAGTAGACATTTAGTTGTAAAAACTGAGATATGCCCTCCCCCACCTGCTGCAACCCTAACCGCCTATTTTTAAGCGCTACAAAAATTTTTCTGAAAATGATCAGAACTGTCTTGAACGTCAAAAAATGAAGTTAAACCGTTTTATGATTTTTGTGTTTTTTCAAAAACTACAAAACTTTTTCGTCCTTAACAAAATGTATGCTAATAAATGGTGAAATGTTGTTGTTGGTGAAGATTTATTTAGCATAAATGCTACAATGTCATTTTTGTATAATGATTCGGTTACATATTTTTCTTCAATCTGTTTTCTGTAATTTTACATTCTTGTCGATTAAAACTAAAATTACGTCACTCTGTATTTTGATTATTCATAAAGTGATTTTTGAATTTCACCTTGAACATTTTTAAATTACGAACTCTGTTTAATATCATTATTCAATTTATTAAATTCAAATACTCCCTTTTGAAATATAGATTTACTAGTTATGTTACTATTACAATTTTGCAGATGAAAATCTATACTGCCTCTAGTTTCGTAGTTGTGATAATGTCTATTTAATTTTTCTAAATGTGGTAGTAATAAATGATTTTTCAATTTGAATATGAAAACGAGAACTAAATAATATATGAAATTGTTTACATCCAACCACTGCAGTTCTTCTAACATAGACTTAATTCTAACATATTTGTTTTTATTTAAAATGATTCTCATAGCTTTATTTTGTAGAATTTGTAATTTTGAAAATATGTTTTCATTTGCTGTAATCAAGATGGTTGAACAATATAAAAAATGGGGAAGAATTATAGTGTTATACACAATTTTTTGGAACATATACTAAGATTATGGGAAACTCTATAGAAGTAATTTATCTTTTTCAAATAATGTATTCATAATGTTCGTGAAATAGTAGCTTACTATCCACATATATACCAAGTTATTTAAATGACTCGACTACTTCAATTTTTTCATCATGTTTCCCTATTGACATACATTTTGTTTTATTAGTGTATAATGTAAGTTTATTGACATTTAACCAATTCATAATTTTTTCAATATCACTATTTAACAGTTGAAACGTTGAATCAATTAAATATTTAGGTATATCTATATATTGATAGTAAACTAAAGTTTTAGGATCACTATAAATACGTTATTTCAAAAATTTCAAAAAAAAAATTCTCATATATTGCCTCTCATAGTTTTGGTACATATTCAAAAAAAAATAGTTTATGATAATATTATCTATCACATTTACTATATTGTGCGACTATCTTGTACACTGCCAATTAAGCTGTATTCTCAAAATTACAAGTCCTGCAAAATATAGCTTTGAGAATAATATTGAATAAAAATAAATACCAAATAAAATCTATGTTACAAGAATTGCAGTGGTTGAATATAAAAAAATTCATATCATATTTTGTTCTTATTTTTATATTTAAAATAAAAAATCTTCTTTTGCCACAACATTTAGAACACTACATAGAATTGAATAATAATTACCAAAATTATTATACAAGAGGAAGTATAGATTTTCATTTACAAAATTGCATTAGTAATATAACTAGCAAATCAATATTTCAGAAAGGATTACTTGAATTTAATAAACTAAATAATGATATGAAATCTACTTGTAATTCAAATATGTTTAATAGAAAATTAAAGGAATTATTCATGGACAGTGAAAATTCTTAGAGATGCAAATTTTGTTTTTCTAAATATCTGTAAGTTATCTAAATGTTTAGTTTTTTAAGAGAATGTAATTCTAACAATCATGTTATAAAAATCTTAAACAAACACACAAAACCATAGTAGTAACATGTTTAAAAATTTCATCGAAATCCAAGAAAAACATATTTCATTTTCGAAAATTCTCGCAGGAGGAGTGACAAGTGAAAACCATACAGTGTGACTAATTTTTTCTTTTCGTTGCAGTGGCTGAGACAGGTGACAGTGTGGCGTCTCATCAAGGATATCACATTCAGTACGTCGAACCCGAAATCTACGCTTCACAAAATGGCGGTCAAGCACAAATGTAAGTATACGTACATCATTCTGAAATAACGGTGGGTAACTTACCAATTCAAAGCCTGCTTTATATATCGCAGCCATAGCGGGAAGCTATTGGAAAGACCATCCCTCGAAATGATGGTCAAGTTTCATCAGAAACAGAACACAACTTGGTAGATGGGGTGTTCGAAAAATAGACGGAGATATTTCAGGGGCTGACTCCTTATTGAAAAATATGACAAAAAAAATGAGTCCGGAAATGCAGAGTTTAATTATTTTTTTAATATCTAAAAAATATTTACTTGTTTCTGTTGAAATTTGGCAATATTATTTGTTGTATTAAGAGGCTAATTTAGCCCTGAATAGATTAAAATTATTAGGTCCTGTGGCGCCCCGGGGGCACCTTAGCGAATATTATTGGCAAAAAAATGTACGCCACTGACTTTCTTGTAACTTTAATATTTATTTTTTGATTAAGCATCTAAAAAAACAACTTCTTTGTCTCCTGTATTTTTTTCGTATTTCACTTCGTTTTCCAGAAAAAAAAATAAAAACCGTTTTATTTCATTTCACTGGACAAAATTGTTTTATTAATTTTTGCTAAAAAAAGTGCCTTGGAAGACTTTTTTTAATTAATTAACCACATTTTATATTTCAGGGCGTACCCGGTGTATACAGTGGGCAGCGATTCCACTCTGTACCCGATCGCGGCCGCTGCGGCGGCCGCCGCGGCCGCTCAGTCAGGCGGGGGCGGTACCGGAGGCGGGCAGCAAACGCAACAGCAGCAGTACTACGCGACGGCTGCCGGAGGAGGCGGTGCTACGGTGGGATACGCGACCACAGGCCCGGCGGGACAGTACGTCGTCCAACATGCCGTAGATGCGGATTCACTTATGGGATCGAGGGTTTCGCCGCAAACCACGGGAGCGGTTAGTATTCGCTCAGTATTCAACGAATTCGAATAACGTTTGTCCTAAAATATTTATTTATACACTAACTAGTTATCATAAATTACAACTCAATACTAGACTAAGCTATACTATCAAATTATGCTCTACCAGACGCAATTTTGTTCGAATGCCTCTCATGAGGTCCTGGGCGGAATTCAGATCAATTCCTCTGGGTTTTTCGTATATTCGCCGTCTTAATTGGCCCCCGTTATGCAACACGGAACCACTGATAAAACGGTAAAATGATATTTCAGCTTAAAATTTTATAGCGCGATAGACAAAAACATCTGTTATACAGGGTTTGTCGGGAAAGTAATAGGTCTGAGTCGATTTAAAAAAAATGTATTGAGCCAATCGTTACAATTCTTTAAAAACTTTCAAAATAGGCTCCTTCTGTTTTTATATTCATATAACGTGGTTCGTTGTATGAATAGCTATCGGTTGGTTTCTTGTTGCGAATTGTTCTTCATCTTGGGCTTCCCAGCCTCCATGATAAACCTTCCTAGACAGTGAAGTCCAAGAATCCTCTATTAATTAATTTTGCGCTAAAGCTTATAGGACATACGTTAGATTACGAGGTCTGTAAATTGATCGTTCTCATAAAACTTTTGTAGTATCCTGACTCCTGACTTTCCTTATCCGTAAAGCACGCTACCAGTAATTAACCTTCGCTTACGCCATTTATCAAGACTTAAAAAACTAACAAACATATTGAATTTATTCCCTTTGTGCTGACTAATACTGGGTGTAGGATTCGAACTATGTAGCTACAGCGACTGTGCATGCCGGTCAAACGTCTGCTCAAGTGGTCACTGGCGACGATATTAGCTCAGCAATGGGACACGCTACAAGAGTATCGCCAGCTACAGTAAGTCACAACACACATCGTCAACTGTCGTTGCGGCCAGCACCACCTTTTTTGTTTGCAGCTTTGTCGCCCTGTTTAGTTGTTTTTGTTGTTTTTTTTTCTTTTTGTTTCACACCGTAGTTTCAGGCTTTCAGTGGGCGCATTCAGGAAAAAACATGACGATATCGGCACGGGTATCACGTATTTTGAAACGTGACATTATGCTGGTTTTTTTGACATTATGCTGGTTTTTTACATTAACTTAGGCTTGTTATCAATCTTTGGCTCTGATGTAATGTAAAATCTGCTTATGAGATGGCATTACTGGAGGTCTAAGGCCCGTATCGTCAGTCGTCCCTACAATTGTAGGGCGCGTTTATGGCCTCCTTGATTGTCATGCTCCTTTCTCTCCTTCAAAAATTTCTAGATTACACTTGTCCCGTGTCAGCTTCAGCGCTCTCCTATTGTGAAGATATGTTTTCTTTTTGAATTGTAGGAAATTTCAGGCTGATAAAACATGATATAACTCAAAAGCAAGCACAATTTGATGCAAATAGATGTTTGTGACATAACCTCAAAATAGAGCGCTGACACGGAGAAGTAGAAAAGTATGACAATCAAGGAGGCCATAAAGGCGCCCTACAATTGTAGGGACGACTGACGATACGGGCCTTAGCTGTAAGTTGCATGTTTTGATGATAAATTCATTGGGTTCTTGTCTTTTCTTATCCATTCTGGAAATTACATATACAAATTTGCTGAATTTAAAAAATGAGAGAGATAAATAATTATATTCACTGTACACTGTCGAATTACAAGCCATATACATGCTAACAGTAATTACACACAACGCGGGCGCGGTGATGATTTCCCGTAATTCTCCTCAGTTTTTCGTAATTTATGTCTTTGAACATAACCTCTCTTCAGAAAGCACAACATATAAATAACCCGTCATATTCAACATATTCAGTAACGATTTTCTGACACAGCAAATATCACTGATTTTATACACATGTAGACCAATACACATAATCATCCTGATGCGATCTTGCTATTCAACCAACTTTCTTCTCAGAGATAAAAACTACAGACCTGGATCATTCAGCCTCACAAAACTATGCAACCAATAATGCATAGTTTAGTTGAGTGATTCCTCCATAGATGGACGCTCACAACGATCCTAGTGAGCAAACGTGGAATGACTGTTTGCGCCCTAAAAACTACCTAGTTTGCAAGATGACATCTTATAGGTTTTTTTTGACGTTTTATAGGTTTTTTACATGATACCCATGCCGAATCATATAAATGCTTTATACTGGGTGTCGCAAGATTCCTTTGACGTAGAAGTACCACGTATTTTTAGACTCAAGATAAGTCGATTGGACATGATTTGCCTCTATACAAAAATGCTTCGTGTGTCCGTTAGAGTGTATCAAAGTTTTTAAAACACATTTAAGATATCTTTAGTCCGCTTTGAATAAAACTTGGAACACGTGTCTTGTAGTCGTCCTAACTATACTGTAGGCGCTGAAGAAAGAAACTAAACCCAAACAAATACACGCATATTGCTCGTGAGTGAGTGTTTAGGCGCAGGAGACATTACAGGACCGCATCAAGATATTATGGGTAGTCATCAAAAATTTCATACAAGATAATTATTATCTTTTACAGTAAATTTCAGTTAGAGATTCACAAATGAGTTAACTACACTTTTTAGTTATTAGTAAGTAAGCTGCGCGCACTCATTCAGATGAGGAACTTGAATCTTCTGAATCGTTTAAATGAATTATTAGAGGTTCAATTTGGGTATCGATGACATTGTCCAAATCCCACATTTTGACCTCAACCTTCTCCCGAACGTGGCGGATACAGTTTTTCCATTCCTCTGCCGTAACTCTATTGACTGCGATGTGAAAGAGATTTTTAACATCAGAAAATTTATAAGTATTATTATTCGACGCCACGTATTGCTTTATGTTGGCCCAAATCAGCTCAATAGGGTTCAGCTCACAATGGTAGGGTGGCAGTCTCAAGACAGTTTTATTTTGTTTTTTGGCCATTTCGTCGATCATTTTAAAATCGTATTTGTATTTATGTCTATTGACTATACTTATCAATTCACCCTTGACCATTGTTTCATCAAAATCGATCTGTTTTGAGGCCAGCCATTGTTGTATGTTTGCTTTTTTAGTTGCCATTGTGGGAATTTTTTCTATTTTTCTAGAATGGTACGGGGCATTATCCAGTACAATAACAGCGTTATTCTCCAGCTTTAGTAACATTTTGGAGAACCAATTTTCAAAGGAATTGCCGTCCATCTCCTCATGATAGTCCCCTGTCTTTTTTGATTCAAAGGCCCACAGTGCTTCGGGAACAAAGCCGTCTTCACTACCTACGTGACAAATGATCAGCCGTTTGCCTTTTCCTGGAAATAAATTATTCCTTACACTATGGATTGATTAAATTTGAAGGAATGAGGCAATTGAGTTCATTTAGCAGAATTTAAGAGTCACGGAATGCTGATCAAAAACTGAAAAACGTAGAAAATTGAAGTTTGCAACTTCTCAAAACCCATTCAAAGCAAATTGACTGCACCCAAAAATGATAATAAATTTCAAAATAACGCTTAAAAGAGGGTCGAAGTTTTTTTCCTAATGACTACACTGCGAATGCACCATTTTTGGAGAATATCACACATTATCTGCTATCACAGCATATTATTTGCCCGAATTTATCAAAATTAAATTGCCGGATAGATGAAGGAGCTTACCTGCAGGATTTTTCAATCCAGCCGAAAGACCGTCTAGAAAAGCCTGCCTTGATGATGTTACTGATTTGTCGACCCAAACTTTCGCTTGAGTATGTCCAGCATACACCCACGTTTCGTCCAAATAGTAAATTTTTCTTTTTTCATCGCGAACCTTCCGAATCTTCCTAAGGTATTCCCTTCTCCACACAACAATTTCTTCTTTCTCTATTAACATACTGTTTCTTCCCCGTTTCAAGAATCGAAAATTAAGTTCCTTCAAAAGTTTTCGGAATGTGGTTCTTTTAAATGATGGAAGATCCTCATCAGCATTAACTAATCTTAATATCTTATCTACTGTAGGTATCTCATTTCGGAAGAAAAAATTATGCACTTTCCTCCTGATGGCAGTTCTGTCAAAGTCATCTACTCCGTCCGTTATCCTTTTTCTTGCAGGATACGGTTTTCGCTCAGAAAGTGAGTGAGTGCTGCTATATTCCTTAATGATCCTATAAACACTGGACCGACATACTCCAGAAATATGTGCTACCTTACATATATCTTCGTCCACGACCAAATCGGGTTTTTCTTGAATTTGGTTTTTGTATATATTTAATATTATTTGTTTTTCATTTGCACTTAAATGTAGCTTCTTAGCCCTTTTTTTGGGTGGGGTTGCGCTGATGTCAACCACTTCGTCGGCTGTATCTGTGTCAGACATCGTATCTTAGGCAATATATAAACAAAACGTTCCACTCGCGAAAAGCGAGTATACGCTACTGAATGCGTAATGCGTATGCAATGCAATCCTGTGCGTGAATTAACTGTTAGATGCCTGTCGTGTCATCTACAATCACGTTTACAAGTCCAAAACTGTGCAGATTCGTAGAGCGCCGACGACTGCTAGTGACCTTGAATTTGTCTGTAGATCGATGTTACTCCAGTCAATTTAGGTTCAAAGTGGATGTTTTCTAAACCAATTTGTTGTTCCTACATCAAAAATATATCGATGATGTTTTGTACTGGGAGCTCATGAAAGATCAAGGTAACTTATTTTAACAGTCATCCTTTTTCTAGTCTCAAGATGACACGAAAAAGGGTCTGTGGATTCACTAGAAATGCACTGCCGAGGATGTTTAGACCTAAAGTGACTGGAGTATATCCGTGGATGCTTTCGAGGGATCTGTTCACGTGCTGATCACTGTTTACGTTTAATGTCTTTCTTCAGCGCCCAGAGTTTAGACTCGAGAACGTTGTTTTCAGTGCAGTTACAGATATTAGTCACCAATGAACCCAAAAGAGGAACATCAACAACAGCTACACAGTCCAAAAGCGACTGTTTGGAGCGCCATATCCTCTAGCGCTATTATTGGGCCGTATATCTTTGCATGCATTGCGTCAATTCCGAGCGATACAAGGACATGATTGACACTGTTTTTTGCTCCTATTGTCAGAACAGAACGTCATCTGACCTCACGCCATGCGATTATATTTGGGGACTTGGGAACTTCTTGATACAACTCATTTTTTTTTCTCAGCATCTATCCGAGATAATACATAAAAAAATGCAGTGTCGTTGGGAGAGTTGCGAAAAATTCGGCTATAATTTACGCAGGGGTGGGGGTAGTTTTTACCTCGAACTCTTTCGAGATTAATGTGAAAGTCAAATATTACGACGTCTAGCAAGACACATGTCCCAAATTTCATTCAAACCGGACTATCAGATCCAAGAATATCTGTAAAAATGTGTTGAGAAGAAAACGTGGTACTTATACGCCTACGGAATATTGGAACACGCTGTATATAACAAAATTTTGGCAAGGAAATCAAAGGGCAGATTGAGCGGATCATTTGAACATAAATTTGGAAATTCCTCGTCTCCATATTTTTTGTGCGTGCACTGGAATTTGCAAAATTAAGTGTCCTTTTCCGGAAGCCATGTTTATTCTGCTTGACAAATATTTTTTTCTGGTGTTTATTTAGTTTCATTAAAGATAGTGCCAGCTCGATTATCGTTTCGGATTCGGGGTACCGGTCAATAAAATATTTTTATTTCTAAAACGACGTGCTTGAATCAAAAACTGCAAGTAGCGTTTTTAAGTAGAATCATTGATTAACGTATTATTCCTCAAGTAGTGTATTTCGGCGTCCAAAAAATTATGCGAGATGAGATACCATGGCGTCTTCTGAGAATTTGTCACAGATCCGTCTCCTTCTCGCCATAATAAGCAAGTTGGCTCTTAATATTTGTTCTAACATATTAGACCAGAAAATATCATCTTATAGTTTTTCAGACCTAGAAGTCCGTAAAATTTACGCAACTTTTATGCAAACAAACACTACTTTCAATTAGTTTACATGAAAAATATAGTAATTATCGTTATTGTACCACTTCCGGTTGTATTTGAATATGTTGACCTGCCCTTAGATTTTCCTGACAACAATCTGTAACACCCTGTATTTTCCAGTTATTTAGATATTAGCATTTGCACCAAGTACCTTTCTTGCGCACGTCTTGGCGGTTATTAATGTTTTTTTCCTAACTGAAATATTGTATTATCCAGGTCCAATGGTTATTGGAGAACTACGAAACTGCAGAAGGCGTCTCATTGCCACGTTCTACCCTTTATGCCCACTATCTGCGTCACTGTGCCGAAAATAAACTGGAACCTGTTAACGCTGCTTCTTTTGGGAAATTGATACGCTCAGTGTTTCTAGGCTTGAGAACACGAAGGTTGGTGTTAGAGAGCAATCTTATTTGTTTAGCATGATTGCTATAATTACATTTTTTTAAAAAACTAAAATGATTACTTAACATACAAATAATTAGAATAACATAACTTGCATCTGTAAGAATTTTCATTGTCCATAAAATTTTCTTTTAAACTTTTTCAATTATTTCACCATTTATCCTAACAGAATTTCATTTGAGTATTCCCGTATTAGCTTTATTTGTTTTAGAAGCATTCAATTTTAGTTTATTCACATTTATAATTTTTGCCAAGTCAATATAGCATTTTAAAAGCAGTGGCTATATTTTCATTTGTTATGTATATTCATGTATCATCTGCATTTTTCAATATTCTAAAATATCACAACTGTCAGTAATATGTAAAATAAGTAGTTTACTACCTTGCGGTTCACCAACAGAAATATTTGGGCTAGTCAATCATTAGAAGAAAAAATACTGTACAATTTTTTTGTTATCGCACGAATTTTAATCTTAAAGATCTGTTCAGATGGAATTTAAATTGTCAAGTGGATTTTCTGAAAATTATTCGATAAATTCAATAAAAAAATTAGACAGCGCAAAAGCAGTGAGTCGCTCGAAAAACGTTTTGAAATGTTTCTTTCGTATCCAAATTTTTTAAATAAATGAAATATCTCGATTTAAAATTTTTATACTTCTTTAATTGGCGTGAAAAATAAAATGAGTTGAAAATATAGTTGATGTGAAGATATCTTTGTTAAATATCAACAAGTGATTCACTAAGGGCCGTATCGTCAGTCGTTCCTACAATTGGAGGACGCCTTTATGATTGATTTTCATAGTCTTTTCCCTCCTTCAGATACGCTGGAATATTTCTAGATTTATACTGTTCCGTGTCAGCGTCAGCGCTCTCCTATTTTGAGGCTATGTTTTCTTTTTTAATTGTAGGAGATTTCAGTCTGATAAATCAGATGATACAAATCCATACCACGAACATTTTTATGCAAAAACATATTTGTAACATAACCTCCAAATAGTGCGCTGACACGGAACACTAGAAAACTATGAAAATCCAGGAGGCCATAAAGTCGTTCCTACAATTGTGGTATGGCCTCCTTGATTTTCATAGTTTTCTAGTGTTCCGTGTCAGCGCTCTATTTGGAGGTTATGTTACAAATATCTATTTGGATCAAATTGTTTATGCTTTTGATTTATATCATCTGTTTTATCAGCCTGAAATTTCCTACAATTCAAAAAGGAAACAACTAGGAGAACGCCGACGCTGACATGGAACAGTAGAAATCTAGAAATACCCCAGCTTTTCTGAAGGAGATAAAAGACTATGAAAATCAAGTAGGTCATGAAGGTGTCCTACAATTGTTGCAACAACTGACGATACGGCCCTAAACGTTACTTTTTTTGTTTTTGTTAGGTTGGGAACCAGAGGTAACTCGAAGTATCACTATTACGGCATCAGGGTGAAACCGGGTTCGACATTGATGAACATGGAAGAGTCCAGCGGAAGAATGGTTCTGGCCGCATCTGGAAGCAACAGCGGGAAAGCTCACGGAACAGTTAGACCGTTCAAAAGGAACTCTGACTCTAACGATTCCATGAACAGTGGTCTCACGCAACACGCTAGCTTTTTAGGTAAGAAGATTTGGGATGCACAAAACAAAAGCGCGTTACCTTAGCGACAAAATATGATTTATTATAAGTGTTATTGTAAAGTTTCATGTAATAAGCATTACGAAGCAAGAAGTTTTCAAAGAAGATAGGGGTTTCGCGAGTGTGAAAATGGATAAAATTGGGCATGGTCAATAACCTTCATATGGCACTGTATGAAATTGGGTTGCTTGCTGTGAAAGAGGAAAGTTGCTCATTCAAGATGATGAGACCTGTTTCAGTGTCAACCCCGGAAAATGTCGATGCAGTGCACGATTTGATATTATCAGACCGTCGCATTTGAATAAAACGCATTGATAACATCATTCATGTTGATTTGGACGTCGAAAGTTTCCTGCAAAATGGATTCCCGAATGCCTGAACGCGGATCAGAAACTAGTACGCCTGCAATTTGGAAAAGACTTTCTGAACAGTCTCATAACTATACCTATGGGGGTACATTTCTACGATCCTGAGACGAGACAATAGTCCGTCCGTAGAATGGAAGCACTCCAAGAAATTTCGTGTGCAAAAGTCTCCTGGAAAAGTGCTTGCGTCATTGTTTTTGAAGTGTCGTGGTGTCATTTTCACATAATGCCAAATTTGCGCGAAAAACTTGTGGAGAAAAGACGCAGAGAGATTCACAAAGGAGTAGTATTCGTGCAAGGCAAAACGCCAGCACACAAATCGCGCATTTCGTTAACGAAGCTTCGCGATTTGGGTTTGGAAGTGATGAAACACCCTCTTTATAAGTCTTTGTAAGTTCTCTTGGCCCGCAATTGGGTATTGCATCACGATAATGCTCCTTGTCAGTTGTTACCATTTTCGTTTATGGGTACACTTGATAGTCCGTCGGGGACCGTCGGTACCGGCTCGTGTCTGATCGCGGTCGCCCAAGTGCTTGGGCCGCCGCGATTATTATGTGGGCTTGTTACCATTTTTTGTTTTGGCTACTCACTTCTCCCTCGTTAGTAATCGTTTTGGTTGCCGGTAGAGTGTGCGTGCAATTAAACATGGGTGGACCAGCAACGATTTAAATAGTTTTAGGGTTCTAAAGAGGAGGCATGAAATTTATCTTTTAGATGTGAGATATGTAGTCAATTTGATTCAGTTTGGCAAAACAAGAATCGAAAGTTGTCTTAACCAAGCTTTTGGGCAGAACACTTGTAGATGCTGTATGTTTTTTGGTCAAACAACAATTACCATTTCGGGGTCACTTTGAAGGGGATGACTTTGACAATAGAGGAAATTACTGGGAATTGTTAACGTCCATTGCCAAAAAAGGTAAAAAAAAACGAATTCCTAGATAGAAAAATCTACTGTTTTTCGGAAGGCTTGGATTAGTCGTAGCATAAGACGAAGAGGTATATCAAGTGTCCCAGACGCCCAGTCCAACAATGTTTACCTTAATTTATAAAAAGTTTAAATACAGTATCTAAAATAAGCAAAAACTTATATCTAAGATGGCCAAAATAAACCTTTTTTAATAAGATTTTTCGCGTCTGGTTTTGGTAACAGTTTAGAAAAAATCACGCCACTGCTTCAGAAGAAAGTTATTTTGACGGTGACAATATATGTTTGAATAATAAAGTCTCATTACTTGATTTACAGACCTTGGCCCACTTCTCTAATTAGAAGCGAAAGACAAATGTTGTGTGCTGGTGGGATGCTATTTTTTCTGAACTTAAAATCACCCGCGCGAACATAAGGACGGAGTATCGGGTAGCAAAAAAATCAATGAGTTCGTTTAATCGCATGTAACATACAAAGTCGATCTTCGTAGAAAGTTGAATACGATTTTTATCAGATTTTTTGTGAATGTCAAAAGTTAAGTTATAGATTTATCGGATGTGTTGTAATCAAGAAATTAACGAACATTTTATTTTAATGATGCCTTGTTTATGTTTCAACTGTTGAAACAAGATTGCAGTGGAAAGCATCTAGCCCTTGATCTAATTTCTTATTTATATTTCTCATAACATGCTTAAATACCGATTCATCAGCCAATTCAAATCCGGTGACCACAAAAAACAAAGACACGCCCATTCGTTCTGGAGACCAACTAGAGTGGCGGATATATTTTGCACACGATAATCGTATTGGTCGACCAATAAAAATGAAACGCCTTCTGTACGAATGAGAATTTATCTTTATATTCGGAGTCTTGCGTTTTTTGTTGTTTTTTTTTTTGTCAAGTAATCCTTTCAGGTATTATTCCGTATTGGTTAAACAGGTATTGGTCAACCTGTGTACCAATAAGAGGCCTTAGTTTTTTATCGTATAGACGCAGTATAGTGCAAAATTTGACTGTATGAGGAGTTTTTGAATACATCTATTGCATTTGTATTTCGAGCAAAAAAAGTCCGATGGATCAGTAAGATGATTAATATGAGCTACTGGGTTAACGAACAGTTAATAAAAAAAATTAAAGGCAATAAATGGATTATTGGTAGCTGACACGAATTATTTACATTCATTTTTCAATAATAATGCATTCTATCATCGTTCTTACTTCCCACACCTACTGGCGAGGAAGTATTATAATCACGAAAAATTTCAAAAACGAAATTATGTTTTTTAGATGTTATACAGGGTGTTTCAGTTTATTGTTGCATAACTTTAAGATTCGATAGAACTTTTAAAATTAATGCATAAAGTCTATATAAACATGGGTGGTAAAATGCGTGGCTTCCGAAATACAAGGTGTTTAAATTTACTTTTTAAAATAGTTTTTTTTAAATATTTCGAACAATATTTGATGTATATCAGTGAAAATTGGTACGCAAGGGTTTTTTGGTACGACAAAATGAACCATGGGCATAGTTTTACTGTAGCCGCTAGAGGGCGCTCTCTACTGTACCTGTAGTGTATTAAAATGACCGAAAATTTTTTCCTACTGCAATTTTTTGCTTTTTGAACAAAAAAAACTGATTCTTCGCACTTTTCTGCATAAAAAAGCTCTCCTGTGAGTTTTCGTTATAGTTAGCCGTTTTTGAGATATTTCGATTTTTAAGGTTCGATGCATTCTTAATTATTTATGGGAAAATAATATTTTTTTACATTTTCGATTTGGGCATTACAAGTAATTAAGATGATCGTTTAGATTGTGTTTTTAAGAGGGCGCTCTCTACTGTACCTGTAGTGTATTAAAATGACCGAAAATTTTTTCCTACTGCAATTTTTTGCTTTTTGAACAAAAAAACTGATTCTTCGCACTTTTCTGCATAAAAAAGCTCTCCTGTGAGTTTTCGTTATAGTTAGCCGTTTTTGAGATATTTCGATTTTTAAGGTTCGATGCATTCTTAATTATTTATGGGAAAATAATATTTTTTTACATTTTCGATTTGGGCATTACAAGTAATTAAGATGATCGTTTAGATTGTGTTTTTAAACACAGCAATAATTCTCTAACTCCAAATAAACACAAAAAACAGAATATTAATTTGTTTAATTTTCCAATATTATTTTTAACAAATTAAATTAATTATTTACAACTAAAATGCTATTGGATAGTTAGGACAAACATACAAAATCTAAAGTAGTTGCTCAAGATGTAAACCCAATTGTTCAATACACAATTCAAATGATCGAACGTGGTATAGCATTATTCAAATAAGGCCTTATTTCATCACATGTATTCCTGACTCTGTCTATTAGCATATCTCTTGTGCTTACGGGAGTCTGGTACACTTTTTCAGTACACAAAAAACATATTACATGAAAAACTTCGTATTATACCCTATAACTTTTATAATACAAGTTTTTCTTCTAGAAGTTCAGATAAAAAAAATAGAGGGAGTTTATAGCCGTTAGACTGGCTGTCATTCATTATTATTATTTTCAACTTTAAGGCGACGGGAGTACCGCAATACCAGCATTCCCGGAAATCCGGTTGCTAGAGCCTCTACCGGAAGAGTGCGTCAGTTATGAGGACGTGGACACCCTAAAATCGATCTATAGAGAACATCTCGAGGCGTTCCTGGACGCGATACTTAGCTTGGAATTTGCCACGGTCGAATCTTTATGGAGAGAATTTTGGAGGTAAGTAGTAGTGGTAGTAATTTTAACTGAAACAGGGCTTTCAAATTAGGGATCCCATATAGTTAGATGATACGACAGAACACCGCTGAATCGAACCTCTAGGTTTTGTATAAAAACTATATAAAATATTAAACAGGGTGTTCATTTTAAAAGTTTTCACCTCGTCTTCTACCAAATCACTTAGAAAATTTTATTGTATTGAACAATGAACAATGAGTGCCACAATTATTCTACTAGAGGAAGTATAGACTTGCAATTTTGGCTGCAATGGATGAAATTAACTCTAATGTCAACAAAAAGATACCTACTATTGGTATCTTTGTTGATCTAAAAAATGCCTTTGATACGGTTAACCATGTCGAGCTTCTGAAAGTTATGGAAAGATTGGGATTTAGGGGAGCGTCACAAATCCTTTTAAAAAATTACCTTTCAAGTCGGGTACAGACTGTCAAAATCACTAACACTTACAGTAAAAAAATGTACATCAAGTGTGGTGTGCCTCAAGGAACAGTACTAGGCCCACTATTATTTAGTCTCTACTTAAATGACATTCAAAATTAACAGTTCTGGAAAGATTATATGTTTTGCAGATGACACCCTCGTATTATATAAAGCTGATGACTGGAGCACACTGAAGCAAATAACTGAACAGGATTTTATAAGGATCATTGACTGGTTTGATACTAAAATTTTAACAGTTAACTTCAAAAAAACAAAATTTATTGCATTTACATCCTATTCAAAATTTTTACCTACCTTCGAACAAATTTCCGTTAATTATCATGGCCAAAAGACCAAAATCGATAGAGTTAACACTTTGAAATATCTTGGAATATTTATAGACTCACATCTAAGGTGGGATAACCATATTAAATATGTTATCAAAAAAATTAGAAATGTTGCCTATAAACTCAAAATGCTTGCTAACATTCTTACAGAAAGTTATCTGCGAATACTATACCATGCCTTAGTTGAAACCCATATAATATACGGCATCACAGTCTGGGGTGTCGCCTGCAAGACATATATTTCTGACCTGAATATAGCACAAAAAACTGTTTTGAAAGCCATTTTCCATAAGCCAAGATTATATCCAACGAACAACTTATATCAAGAAACAGGGATACTTGATACAAGACAACTTTATTTCTTACATGCTACCACCTTATACCATAAGTATTGTAATAAAAAGACAAAATCCTATAAACACGAGCATAACACACGATTTCGAATAGGCTCATCTAATATCCAAAGACCACACAAAACATTATTCAAAAAATCATTTAAATTCTTAGCAGCTAAATTATATAATGTAGTACCAAACGAAATAAAGATACTTAATTTTGGAAAAAAATTTAGAAGAAAATTGAAAGACTGGGTTAGTAATGTGCAGCGAATGACTATACATAATTATATAGAAAACTAAAACTACAAAATTCCAATTACATTAATACCTTTTAGATTTAACAATAATTGTTATACACATATATGATTGATTGTTAGTTATTAAGATACAGGCGATGCCTTCTGTGGTTTTTTCATATTTATTTGCCCATTTTTAGTATTTTGGCGAATAAATATTATTATTATTATTAATATAACGAGCAAGTCAGTTTTTCAAAAGGGATTGTACGAATTTAATAAATTAAGTAATGATATCAAGATGTGTGTCCGTTTGTAAATGTTCAAAGGGAAATTGAAAAACTATCTCATGGAAAACCAGAATTCGTAGTAGTGAAATTTTGTATAAAAATATGTAGTCTTGAAGACATAATATATTTTGTACAGCATTAATGCTAGATAAGTCTGAAACAAACAAACAAACCGACATAACCCGATTTTTTTTCCGCGTGTTTTTCGTCAACACAGATATCCTGGGCGAACTGTATTTATTGCTATACCTGCTTAGTTATTTGTTGCTAAGGGAAAGAAAGAATTTAATTTGCTGTCAGTCACCTTTGTGGCACTCTTAGGATAGTGAAAATTACTTTATTGATTCAAATGGTTTACACACTAGCCGAAAGAGCGGCAATGACACTAATTTTTGGTACCGAAAATCAATGTGCTCGGCAAACTGCCGTGTTACGTTTAACGCCAGTCATCCGGGGAAGATAACTTCGCGTAGGTATGTTTTGGACCTTGATACTAAATTTCCTCAAACTGGATCTGTTGCAAATAAAAAAACGTGATCATCGGAGAGTTTTGGATGAAATCGCTCAAATTGTTGCTGCGATTGGTATTTCATTAGGCTCTGTACACAGTTACTACAGTCCATCAATTTCATCTTTTTATTTTATACATAAATGATTTACCTGCCATAGTCAAAAAATGCAAAATTCAAATTTTCGCCGATGACACTATGATTTATATAAGTACTAAAAATATTCAGTCTGGTATCTCTTATATAAATGAAGACTTGAAGCTTGTCTCAAAATGGTTAGCATCTAACAGACTAAAATTAAATGCAAGTAAAACGAAAGCCTTGTTAATCGGAAAAAAACAATGTACAAATGTTCAACTGAATATTGATGGTGAAGATATTGAATTCGTAGAAAATTTTAAATACCTGGGAGTTTTTGTTGACTCTCGATTAATTTTTGATATTCATTATGAAAAAGTTATAACTAAGATTAGTAGTAAAGTGGGATATTTATCGAGAGTTTCTGGATGTCCGAGTTCATATAGCAGAAAAATTATCTATAATACCATCATTCTTCCAAATTTCTTGTACTGTTCGACTATTCTATATTTAGCAAATAATTCCATTTTTGAAAGACTGCAAATTTTACAAAATAAGTGCATGAGAATAATACTAAATAAAGATAAATATACTCCAATTAGGCAAATGCTTAGCAAATTAAAATGGCTCAATGTAAAAAATTTTATCAAATATCTTGTAATGATATTCATTTATAAAGTAAAAAATAATATATTTCCATCAAGTCTAACTAATTTAACATCATCAAATGTCGACCATCATTTACATAATACCAGAAATAAAGATGACTTCCATTTAATGACCAAAAAGTATAACATATGCTACAGATCTGTATTCCATCAAGGGTTGATTGAATATAATAAATTATACTCGGAGATAAAAGACCAGAAAACTTTGACAAAATTTAAAGTAAAATTGAGAAATCACTTGTTAAATCTACAATTATGAGTTGCCCAGCATTTACATCATACACCATATGGCTTGAATTTACTAGTTCTAAGTTGTTTACAATTGTTCTGTTTATGTAGCCAAATGTGCTAAATAAATCTTTCTACTACTATTACTATCTATTCAAAATGAAAATATTGCAGGAGTTAACCGAAGGTGATTTCGATAGACGAGTTGCGTTTTGTGAACAAATGAACGCAGCGATTAATGATAATACCATTCATGTAAAGAATATCTGCTTCTCCTCACTATGTTCTTCTGGTTCAGCAATGACTAGACGACGAGTTTCCATATAAATGGATATGGCGAAGAGAGCCATTATAATGGCCTGCTAGATCTTCTGATTTGACGCCATTAGACTTTTTTCTATAGTGCCATTTGAAATCTATTGTGTTTACCTGGAAGCTGCCATGATATCTCACAACATGTTTTTGAAAAGGTCCTTTAGGAATTGCTTAGCCATTTTGAACACTTATTGGAATAAAAAGTGATATTTTCGCGTGTTTTTGCTTCTATCTGAACAAATAAAGATTTTTCTAATTTTCTTGAAAACAAAATAACCGATTTTGAAAAATGAAACGTCAAAATAAAAGACCTTTCAAACAAGCTGTTACTCGAAACCCCTTGCCATTTAAAATTTTCAAGGGGATGACCCTGGGGGGCAGAGGCTGAAAGGCGGTGAAGTAGTTTTTGGTTAAAAAGTTGTCCCACTTGACAAATCTTTTGACGTGTTTTTTTTCAATCCCAGGTTTTCAAATTATATTCATGTAAAAACATTTCAGATCTCAGTACAATAATAATAGCGACGAATGCGAAGAGGAGAAATATCTGTCGAAGGCAAAACTGTTCTGCTTGTGCAGTTACGAGCCGGTACAACAGTTCATGAGACAAGTGGATTTGGTGTTCTATCAGAACTTGATACAAGTGTTGGTGCCTGACGTGTTGAAACCCATACCGGCCACTTTGACGCAGAGCATCCGAAACTTCGCCAAAAGTAAGTAAATTAAAAATCTTCACTTTTATAAAATACTACTAGTAGGACGGTCGACCGTACAAACATACATACAGCGCCTAGTAGCAATGAAATCTGAATCTACGAGCCCCTTCCCACTTCAAGACTTGTACGAAAATATGCCTTTATAAACTAAACATGACGAAACTATTTACTTCTAAAACAATTTATTTTCTCAAAAACATTTTAGATACACTCTAGTCGTAAAAAATACATATTTGAAATCACTTAGACCTATAATAGAACAGCTGAAAAAATTAGTTAACAAAGCAACAGTTGAAAGATTACCATTGGGTAACATCACCTTTATTTTTTATTACGGCTGAAATTCTTTGGGGCATAGTTTTGGCAAAAATTTGGTGTAAAACAATCCCATATTTCTTGAAGCTTTTGTCTCAGTTCGGTGATTGTACGAGCAGGATGTTGTCGTAGAACCTTTTTCATCTCGTGCCACAAAGTTTCAATAGGTGACAGATCTGGACTGTTAGAAACCCATTTCAAAAGTGGTACATTATTTTCTTCGATCCATTTTATAGCCTTTTTTGAGGTGTGGCACGCTGCACCATCTTGCTGAAACACAAAATCTTGGCCGGATGTCAAACATTCTTCCATCACTGGTAAAAGCGATTCTTCTAAAATTGCCAGACATTTGTTTGAATCCACATTTCCATCAATAAAATGAAGTTTTCCTACTCCTTTTGATGACATACTGCCCCAGACCATAATGGATGCTGGAAATTTCACTTTTCTCTTCAGACAGTCAACATGGAATGCCTCATTTTTTGCGAATAACTCTACTGCGGCTGTCACCAACACAAACTTCGAATCGGGCCTCATCACTCCATTGTATTGCACACCATTGTCGAGGTGTCCATTGTCTACGTTCTTTAGCCCATCTAAGCCGATTTTTCTTTTGCAGTGGAGTTACGTGCGTTTGCTAAGAAACATTTATAATTTTCATTGCAGATTTAGAAAATTGGTTAACGAGCGCCATGGCCGGAGCTCCACCGGCGATGCTGCAAATCAAACTGACTGCTGTTTCGGCGTTCAGCTCCAGTTTGAGACGCTACACGTCTCTAAATCATTTGGCGCAGGCTGCCAGGGCCGTACTGCACAATAGCAATCAGATCAATCAGATGTTGGCCGATCTGAACAGGGTGGATTTTCATTCGGTCCGTGAACAGGTGAGCACGTAATTGTGTATTAAAAAAAATTTATAAAAATGCCTTGAGTCAATATTTCGCTACTGTGTTGCCGAAATCCCGGAAATTTTTGATTGATGGAGGTTTATTAGGACTTTCTTACCCAACCAGCAAATATTTTCTTTATGATGAGAACAGTTACAACGTAGGCAGAAACGCACGCAGCCAAGTAGTTACTTTGTCCTAGCTGAACGTAGATTGGGATACAGCATTCCCTGTTCGTGTATTTGTTCCCAAAATTGCTTAAATAAGTGCTTAAAATAACGAGTTGTTCATTTTGGAAACGGCAACTCGTATTTTTAAAAATAAATCCAAATTAAAGTTACAATATTAGACGAAAACAAGGTTTTAAATTAGTCATACCTGAAACAACACTTGTGACAGACTTAATAATTTATAGTGGTCTGAAAATTTCTCCCTGATGCTATCAAAATATTTTACTCAAAAAGTCTTTAATATATGTGCGAGTTCCATGAGATCCACATATGTGATATGTTACAGTTTAACTTTAAGTTAGCTCTGTCATTAAGAATGATTGTATTCTTCTTTATCCATCTATACAGGGTGTCCGCAAAGTTGGGGTTTTCCTTTTCAGAAACAACTACCCTTGAAATAACAAAGGTAATGTGTAGTGAAACGAGGGCGTCCAAGTAAATAAAATAAAGGAAAATGTACTCACTCTCCAGTTGACGAGAAGTGCTAAGTACGTCTCTGCCCGAAATCATACCGCTCCAACAGGAAATGAAATCAGCTGAAGCGCTACCGAGCAGACGCAGAAACCACATTGATTTTCTTACACTTAATGGCACATCTTCTAACAAGGAAGGCAAAATGTTGCGTGAAAAGTCTAGGTATTGCATCCCGTCCAATCAATTTGGGAGAATAAATGGTCCAATGAGCATACCGTTCACCATGCCAGCCCAAACATTCACCGAAAATGTTTGTTAAAAATGACCAAACATGAGTGTTGCGAAAGTTATTCACCCCATTACGCGTGAACGTAGATTCGTCTGTCACCAATATGCACTTCAAAAAGTCCGGATTATTGTCATGTTGATGCAACAACCACTCACAAAACCGCACTCTTGCTGGAAAATCGTCAGGTTGAAGGGCTTGTACACGTTGGACGTGAAACGGATACAGCCCTTCTTCACGCAGCGGTTGCCACACTTTAGTTTTTGATACTTGCACTTCTCTAGCCACGTCTCTAGTGCTTGTTGAGGGATTCTCGTCTACGCGATTACCTCTACACGCGTGACCGTAACCCTCGGTTGAAGGTTGCATACTGAACTGACACACTGACCCTGACCCAGTTCTGCCGTCGGGTTGAGACCTTGTACCAATCGGTGATGTCCCGGATCGCGGCTACAGGACGGTATTCAGATATTTTTGATGTTGCAGAGCCCTTTATCTCGGTTCCCTTAAGACATTGGTGTATATGGTACTAAGAAAAATTGCTTATGTTTTCAAGATCTACACGTCGTGTAAAGGAAAACCCCAACTTTGCGGACACCCTGTATATCTTTTTTATTTTTTCAGTTATAACAGTTTATTATAACTGCTATTTTATGTATGTTGTGGTAGCATGATATCCACATACAAAGATATTTTCCTTTTGTGGCATATGCATTTGTTCACAATGCGTAATTGATGTGAATAAATTATTATTACTATTTTATACTTCAATTTTTGAAATACAGAAGGGATTAATAGAAAATAAAATTCATCTTATCTGAAATATGTCAGTTTCCACCGACTTTCAAAAGTAATTTTTGTTTGTGATGCATAACAAAGTCTATTTTCTCAGGCCTCCTGGGTTTGTCAATGCGACAACGACATAGTAGCGCGTTTTGAAAACGACTTCAAGTTGACGTTGCAACAGCAAAATTCGTTGGAACAGTGGGCGTCGTGGCTGAAAAACGTGGTGAAAAGTGCATTAAAACCGTACGAAGGCAAGCCGAGTTTCTCAAAGGCTGCCAGGCAGTTTTTGTTGAAGTGGAGTTTCTACAGGTTAGTGAATCTCACATTTGCAGCTTGACGTAACTTCTAAAAATAAAAGGATTGAAAATATCGTCTCGAAATTGGAGATACAATATATCAAGAAATTTAAAAAAAAATGAAAATGTCAATTTCAAATTGTATTACGTAATATAAAAAAATGTTTTAGCTCCAGCAAAAAAGGATGATTATAAACAGAAAATAATAAGTGCAGGAAATAATACCAAGGAGGTATGGAAAGTCATAAATGAATTAAGAGGCAAATCTGCTTCTACTAACAAAACAACCTATAAATCCCGACGTACTAAATGACACACAATAGCTGAAAAACTAAAAACAGCTATAAAAAATATCACCCGTTAAAAAATCTAAATCGTATAAATGTAGATCAGAAATTCGTACTTTACCTGCTGTCATTTATGAACTGCCTAATATCAAGATCAATCAAAAATAAAAAATCATCAGGTATTGATCGAATTTCTTTAAATGTTATAGCTACGGGAGTTGTCCCAAAAATAAGGTTCCTACATTTTTTTCGGGTACAAGGAATTTTTTTAAATAAAATAAATATAAAAACAGGGAAACCTAAATAATCAGTACTAGGTCCGATTCATTTTATAGTTTATATTAACGATTCAAGCATAAATGGTAAATTCATAGTTTTGCTGATGATACCACAAAACCTTGGCAAGATACAGATATAGATCAAAATAGGTCATAAATCGACAATCAATCCAAAATTAATTTCCAGTGCTAGTAGTAGTTGTAGAATGATTTATTTAGCACATTTGGCTACATAAACAGAATAATTGTAAACAACTTAGAACTAATAAAATGAAGCCATATGGTGTATGATGTAAATGCTGGGCAGCCTATAATTGTAGATTTAACAAGTGATTTCTCAATTTTACTTTAAATTTTGTCAAAGTTTTCTGGTCTTTTATCTCTGAGTATAATTTATTATATTCAATCAACCCTTGATGGAATACAGATTTGTAGCATATGTTATATTTTTATATTTATCTTTATTTAGTATTATTCTCATGCATTTATTTTGTAAAATTTGCAGTCTTTCAAAAATGAAATTATTTGCTAAATATAGAATAGTCGAACAGTACAAGAAATTTGGAAGAATGATGGTATTATAGATAATTTTTCTGCTATATGAACTCAGACATCCAGAAACTCTCGATAAATATCCCACTTTACTACTAATCTTATTTATAACTTTTTCATAATGAATATCAAAAATAAATCGAGAGTCAACAAAAACCCCCAGGTATTTAAAATTTTCTACGAATTCAATATCTTCACCATCAATATTCAGTTGAACATTTGTACAGGCTTTCGTGTATTTAATTTTAGTCTGTTAGATGTTAACCATTTTGAGACAAGTTTCAAGTCTTCATTTATATGAGAGATACCAGACTGAATATTTTTAGTACTTATATAAATCATAGTGTCATCGGAGAAAATCTGAATTTTGCATTTTTTGACTATGGCAGGTAAATCATTTATGTATAAAATAAAAAAAAGTGGTAAGAAATTTATAACATTTAAATGCTACCTTGATTCTATAAATTTAAATAACGATTTGAAACACAAAACATACACCATCAAATGTTTATCACTGACCATTGATAAAATGAATAATAAATGATAGGCCAAATGCTTTCCCAGCTAGCAAATAGTTTCTTTATTAGAACAATTAGTTACAACGTATGTAAAAGCACAGCCTTAAGCAGTTACTTTGCTTTACGAGGGTGGTCCCAGAAGTACCCGACCCAACGAAGAAAACACAAAATTTTTGTGAAAAAATGTATTTATTTTTCAACACAATCTCCTTTTTGAAATGCCTAACTATGTCTGCTAGCTCGCGCACTTTCGGTCGACGATCATTCAGTACCGCTTTGTGAATTTTCCTCACCATTTCTGGAGTCGTCACCTCATTTGGTCGACCACTGCGATGCTCGTCTTGGCGTTTAAACTCTGCTACCCAATATTTTACTGTTGTAAACGAAGGAGCAGACTCACCCAGAGTAGAATCCAGTTCAGCTTTTATATTGGTTGGGCTGAGGCCTTTGAAATAAAAGTATTGTACCACATAGCGATGACCAATTTTCTCCATGTTCACACATTCACTGAAAACGTTCAGTATTGATGGCTGCCACACAAATACTAAACAACGTGGCGTCTTCAAACTTGACACATATACTTTATAGGTTGCATACTTTCTAATAATTATATTTTTCAAACAACTATTGCCATCTCTAGGTCAGGCCTGGTACTTCTGGGAATACCCTCGTATCTGAGATATAACATTCCCTTTTGGCGTTCTCATTTTACAAAAATAAAGCAATCCTAGAGGTACACGCCTTCATTTTTAAACGTCGTTTCATGGCTTTTTTTATAATGTTGGTTTTCGTTTTAGTTCTATGGTGATAAGAGACCTGACCCTGAGGTCGGCTGCAAGTTTTGGATCTTTCCATCTGATCCGGTTATTGTACGACGAGTACATGTTCTATTTGATCGAGCACCAAGTTGCTGAGGCCACCGGAGTAGTGCCTATCGCAGTCATACTGGAAGGAATCGTAAGTTCTGATATGCTACACCTCTGTCCTAGTTTCTTTTGCAATTAGATACTTCGACGCAATTTTCGCTAACATAGAGAGGCACAAAATGAACGTCTTGCATGTGATTCCAAATTTTCATTGGAAGACGATTCATAGTACTGACCAGTGGAATTTTCGAACGTTTACGCATCCATACTTTTTGAAAAAGTTTTATCTACTAGAATGATTCGATACCTCACAAAATTCAAAATTTTAAGTGAAAATCAATATGGATTTACAGAAGGGAAGGCTACATCGGACACAATAACTAAAATTGTAAATCAAATACATCAAAATATTGATAACAGAATCTTTTCAATCTGCATTTTTGTTGATTTAAAGAAAGCTTTCGACACAGTTAATCACAAATTATTATTAGAAGCATTGGAGAGAATTGGTTTCAGAGGAAACGCGTACTCACTGATCGAAAGTTATTTGTCAAATCGCCCACAATCTGTGCAGATATCAGGATCATTTAGTAAAGAAATGTATATTAAGTGTGGTGTCCCACAAGGAACTGTCTTAGGTCCGCTGTTATTCAATATATATTTAAATGATATTTTCCAAATTAATTGTGTTGGCAAAATAACTAGTTTTGCAGATGATACTGCAATATTATATGAAGGCACTGACTGGTCTGATCTGAAAAATGTAATTGAAAATGATTTTATCAAAATTATTCGGTGGTTTAACAGTAGAAAATTAAGCATTAACTACTCTAAAACACATTTTTTACCATTTGGATCTTATGCTAGACATCTGCCAAATTACACAAATTTCTCCTTCAATATTAATGATCAAAAAATGCAAATTAATAGAGTGCCCAACATAAAATACCTTGGAGTGGTCTTGGATCCTCACTTACGATGCGACATCCATGTCAATTATATTTTAAAGAAAGTTAGATTTGTATCCTACAAAATTAAATACCTTGGGAATATATTGACAGAAAAATATCTTCGAACATTATACCATGCACTGATTGAGCCTCATCTCACATATGGTATATTAGCATGGGGAGCTGCATGTTCCTCACATATCTATAATTTAGATGTTTTTCAAAAAAGTATTCTAAAAATGATATTTAAAAAACCGAAACTTTATCCCACTGAAAAATTATACGCAGATGTTCGAATGTATGATATAAGACAGCTTTATTTCTTACACAATATCACTCACTACCATAAATTTGTAAACACCGACCAAAAAATTAAACATAATCATTATACCAGGTACAAAATTCGTGGCACAGTAGTTCCTCAACCGCATAAATCTATAATGCAGCGATCATATCTCTATTTAGCGCCTAAATTTTATGAAATTATACCTAAAGACTTAAGAGATTTACGTTTCGGAAATTCTTTCAAAAGAAATTTAAAAAAGTGGCTACATTCTATATCTAGGACTGAAATTCATAAACTCATAAATACGAACATCAACTAAATACATAATCTACTGTAGCTAATTTTTGTCCTTTTTTGTCATTTGCATTCTACAGTTTCAACTTAAATTTATTGGTCCATGTACAGGCGATGCCTTCTATTGGGCCTGTTTTGATTTTATATTTATTTACTCATATTGTTTGTTATCTTTGTACATTGAGTGAATACATATTATTATTATTATTATTATTATTATTATTTATTATACTTACCTGTATATCTCCATCTTGCGCTTTCAAAAATTGAAATCAATATATTTCCTTTTCCCAAGGCAAATACTGTAAGAAATACTCTTTTATTCTATGAGATTAGATATGAGTCAAGTAGTCTATTGTAATTACCTGTACCTGACGTATTGAACTTGTGTCTGTCGCTGATCGGCAGGGGCATTGCTTATCTTGAGGAGTGACATTTTGTTGTTTTGATACTTTTTTGTGACATAACGTAGGTTTTTCTGCAAGATGTCAACTTAGCGCTAGACGTACACTTGTGAACTCGTTTTGTAGCTGTACGTGTTGCCTGAACGTCATGATGATTCAGCTATCAATGTTTGGCTCCGGTGTGATGTAACATCTACTTCAGAGATGACATTATTGGAGGTCTAAGCTGGAAGTTGTATACTTTAGCTGGTAGGAAACGGCAGTGAATATGTGCATAATGAGGACTTGTGTAATAATAATCTGTGTTGATAATTCCGTTGGTTTTTTGTATCAAATACACTTACTTGTGATGTATTCAAAGCTAGACAAATTAGTTGCACATCCACCTTTTCTTATTCATTCTGGAAACTACATATATACTAAGTGACATATAAATCCGAACACCCAGTTTAAATGGTTTTATTTTAATAAAATTTTGTATAAGTACTTAATAAAAGCATAATAAGTAAATGATAAAAATTTCAAAATGATTACACTGCTTTAAAGCCCTTTGACCTTTAACAATGTGTGGATGCACCCTGATGTGCTACGCATTCTCCAACGCGCCTAGGCATGCTTCTGATCAGGTGGTCAATGTCCTCCTGAGGTATCTCATTCCAGGCAACCACCAACTCCTCTCGAAGTGCTTCTAGAGTCTGAGGAGGACGTTGCAAATTGAGCAATCTCCTACCCATCATATCCCACACGTGCTCAATTGGGGATAAGTCCGGAGATCTTGGTGGCCATGGTAACAATGTGACATCATTATGTTGAAAGAAGTCTATTGTGACTTTTGCAACATGTGGTCGGGCATTATCTTGTTGGAAAGTTGGATCTGCCAGGGTGTCAAGATAGGGTAAAAGATGGGGTTCTAAAACTTCGTGGATATAACGCTGCGCGTTCATGTTACCTCTGATGAAGATTAAAGGTGACCTGGAACCATAAGCTATAGCACCCCAAACCATAACTCCAACAGTGTGATGAACATGTCGTTCAATAAAAAACTGTGGATTCCTCCTTTCACCACGTCGCCTTCTAACCCTGGCACGACCATCGTGCATGCCTAAACAAAATCGAGACTCGTCACTAAAGACAATACTGTTCCATTCCTGATCCCAGAGTGACCGTTGTCTGCACCACTCAAGGCGATTACGTCGGTGTTCTCGAGTTAAAAGGAGGACCCAGTGTGGCCGGTATGAAAACAAGCCAAAACTTCTCATTCGTCGGTAAACACTTCGCATGCCAATAGGTCTTCCGTGTTCTGCAAACCATTAATTTGCAATGGACCTGGTAGTGGAGAAACGGTCCCTTAATGCCAATAATCTTAGGCGGCGATCTTCACGGTCTGTTGTTCTACGGCGGCGTCCAGTGCCCCTTGCTCTTTGCGTACGGCCTTCTCGAAGTCATGCCTGACAACACCTAACCACAGTGTCTACACTTCTTTGCACTCTAACTGCAATTGCCCGAAAAGAAAGTCCAGCTTCCTAAGTTGACGAAATCGTACAGGTCTCCGTACTCTAGGCATCGTAACCGATCGTAAAGGATGTCAAGAACCAAAATCCGCCAACGTTGATTCTTTACTGCGGCTGAAATATTCATTTTTAGAGCGTTAGTGAATTAAAAAAAAAGCAGTATAAAAACCGGAATGTCCAACTGATAAGGCTGAAAATATTTTCACTTGTTATTTACAGTAAGATAAATACATTAACCAACTTTTATTAAAATAAAACCATTTAAACTGGGTGTTCGGATTTATATGTCACTTAGTATACAAATTTGCTGGATTTCAACAATGGCAGAGATAAGAAAAAAATCCCTAGTTGGTGAAGTAATCAACTTTATATGAAATCTTATATTCTATACTTACATACTGCCATGTATTGCAATTATATTAACTGTACACTATCGGATTAAAAATCATATATGTACATGCTAACTCTAATGTCGACGCGGGCGCGGTGGTGATTTCCCGTGATTCTCCTCAAAGTTTTTGTGAACACAAAAAAACACGGGAATTCAGTACTAATTTTCTCACAGCAAATATCACTGATTTTATACACATCCAGACCAATACACATAATCATCCAAATGCGTTCTTGCTATTCAATCAACTTTCTTCTCAGAGATGAAAACTACATACTAGTCGACTTCATAAAACATATGCAACCAACAATGCGTGTGGTTGAGTCATTCGTCCATAGATGGACGCTCACTGCGGTCATAGCGAGCAAACGTGGAATGAACTATTTGCACCCTAAAAACTGCCTAGTCTGGAAGATGACATTGTGCCGTTATTTTTTGATTACATAATACGAGGGATATAGTAGTAGTAGTAGAAAGATTTATTTAGCACATTTGGCTACATAAACAGAACAATTGTAAACAACTTAGAACTAGTAAATTCAAGCCATATGGTGTATGATGTAAATGCTGGGCAACCTATAATTGTAGATTTAACAAGTGATTTTACTTTAAATTTTGTCAAAGTTTTCTGGTCTTTTACCTCCGAGTATAATTTATTATATTCAATCAACCCTTGATGGAATACAGATCTGTAGCATATGTTATACTTTTTGGTCATTAAATGGAAGTCATCTTTATTTCTGGTATTATGTAAATGATGGTCGACATTTGATGATGTTAAATTAGTTAGACTTGATGGAAATATATTATTTTTTACTTTATAAATGAATATCATTACAAGATATTTGATAAAAATTTTTACATTGAGCCATTTTAATTTGCTAAGCATTTGCCTAACCGGAGTATATTTATCTTTATTTAGTATTATTCTTATGCACTTATTTTGTAAAATTTGCAGTCTTTCAAAAATGGAATTATTTGCTAAATATAGAATAGTCGAACAGTACAAGAAATTTGGAAGAATGATGGTATTATAGATAATTTTTCTGCTATATGAACTCACACATCCAGAAACTCTCGATAAATATCCCACTTTACTACTAATCTTATTTATAACTTTTTCATAAGGAATATCAAAAATTAATCGAGAGTCAACAAAAACCCCCAGGTATTTAAAATTTTCTACAAATTCAATATCTTCACCATCAATATTCAGTTGAACATTTGTACATTGTTTTTTTCCGATTAACAAGGCTTTCGTTTTACTTGCATTTAATTTTAGTCTGTTAGATGCTAACCATTTTGAGACAAGCTTCAAGTCATTTATATAAGCGATACCAGACTGAATATTTTTAGTACTTATATAAATCATAGTGTCATCGGCGAAAATCTGAATTTTGCATTTTTTGACTATAGCAGGTAAATCGTTTATGTATAAAATAAAAAGAAGTGGTCCCAGGATACTGCCCTATGGAACACCCAACGAATTTTCAATTTTTGATGAAATAGTGTCATTAACTTTTGTAACTTGCATCCTTTTAGACAAATAATTTCTAAACCAATCTAAAACACTTCCTGTTATACCATATGCCTTCAATTTACCTAACAAAATATCTCTATCAATCGTTTCAAATGCCCTCTTCAAATCCAAAAATACTGCTATGACAACTTCTTCTGAGTCTATGGCTCTTCTCCAATTCTCAGTTACCAACTGGAAAGCTGTTTCTGTGGAATATTTTTTTCGAAAGCCTGCTTGCGCCTCCACTAAAATTTTGTTTTCTTCTATAAACTGCATTAATTGGTCATGCACTATGGACTCTAATAATTTTTCAATGTCTGGTAACACATTTACTGGTCTCATATCGATGCATCTTTTAGAATGTTTTATTTTGGGAACTGGTGTTATTGTAGAGCATTTCAAATTTTCAGGGAAAGAACTGCTTCTCAGTGAACAATTGATCCAATTTAATACAGGATATCCCAAAATTTCGAAACAGTTTTTCAGCACGTTTTTAGTAGTCATTTCGGCACAGTTGTTATTTGATTTTAAACTGTTTACTTTTTTTCTTAGATAATTCAATGATACGCTGTGAAATTTTGAAAGTGTATGCAACATTTCCCCCTGGAAACTGATTTTCATATAGTCAGGTGCAGCATTGGCAGTACCTACGATATCAACAATACTTTCCACAAAATATTCATTTAGTTTGTTTGCAATCACCAAAGAATTTGTTTCGGTACCGTTTTCGAATTGAACTTGATTTACACAATCATGCGGCTTCGAATTGATCAGTCTTTTTAAAGTCTTCCACATCTTTACACTGTCGCACTTGTTATTATCGATTTGTTTATCGTAGAATTTTCTTTTTTCTTCTCTAATTACATATACACATTTATTCCTAAGAGTTTTACATACCTCCCAATCATCATTTGATTTTGTGAATATACATTTATTGTATTGTTTGTCTCTCAAATTTTGAGCTGCCTTAATATTCTTGTTATACCAAGGTGTATTTTTTGTCGAGCAAATCACTTTTTTATCAGTTGCAAGATCTAAACATGTTTTTATATTTTATGTTGTCATATATTTTTTCCATATTCTCACCAAAATTCCAATAGCAGCCAGCAAGTTCTCGTTCAAGTTTTTCGTACTTAATAGTATTTACGATTTTCTTAATTTTTGTATCAGAAAAATGCCCTACCAAGGGCAGCATTGTCCAACTGTGATCGCTAACTTTAGGTGTATGTACAGCTTTAATCCCTGCACATTCGAAATTTACAATAACAAGATCTAACAAAGTCTCTGATAATGATGTTATTCTGGTACTCTCTTCAATTTTTTGCTTGAACCCATAGTTGTTTATGGTTTCTTTCAATTTTCTTGTTTTCATGCTTTTACCATAATAATTTAAATTAAAATCACCTAAAAGTATTATATTGTTTCTAAAATTCCACATTTCTTCGCATTTTTCTTCAAAAAACGTTAAAAATGTATCTGCATCACTGTTTGGATGTCTTCTAAGTTTTGCATATAGAAACATAGTAGGCCGCGCGGATCGAACGTCAGTACTGAATCTTAACCTCACTCTTTAGTAAACTTAAATTCAAAGTTTCACAACAGTACGTGCAGTGTTCTCATTACGAGGAATTTTTAAGAGTCACCAAGTCATTAGAAAAATGGAACTCAACCGAGAACATTTTCGCGCCATAATTTATTACAACTTACAGAGACAATTATCGCAATAAGAATGCCTTGCTGAGTTACTGTCTGTTTTCGGCAACAAAGCGCCACATCAGTCGACAAGTTACCGTTGGTATGAAGAATTCAAACGTGGACGGGTGAGTCTTAGCGACGATCCTAGGGTGGGTGCACCAAAAACGACAGTCACTCAGGAAAACGTCGATGCTGTGCGCAAACTCATCATTAAAGATAGACGTGTGACACATCGCGAGATTGGGGCGTCCTTGAAGATCTCAAAGACCTCAATTCAAAAAATTTTACATGAAGAATTAGGAGTAAGAAAATTAGTTTCTCGTTAGATACCCCACCTGTTGACTGAAGAGCAGAACGCAGCCCGGGTTAATTGGTGTCAAAAAACGCTTGACCGTTTCAATTCCGGAAACTCAAAAAATGTGTACAGCATTTTTAGTGGTGATGAATCTTGGATTTACTGTTATGAACCAGAAAATAAACGACAGTCGGCTGTTTGGGTGTTCCAAGATGAAGAAAAGTCAACAAAAGTCATCCGTTTTCGAAGTGTTTCGAAAAAGATGGTCGCGACATTTGTGTCAAAAGCGGATCATATTGCAATGAGCAAAGAACTGTTACAGCGGATTGGTATACCACCATAGTCATCACCGAGCTTCGAAAAATCAACGTGGAGAATACTTCGAAAAATAATAAGTCACTTAAAACTACCTACCGTGTTGTTTTATTTACATATGCAAAACTTAAAAGACATCCCTCATACTCCTGCCGCGGACATTGTAGATTGTGTCTATTATTTACCTGTAACCGGTACGTAAATATGCTTACCTGTGTCCACTTGTGATGCCTGAACTCAGCCCATACCCCTAGACGACCAAAACAAGGGCTCAACGACACCCCAGCCCTGCATTAATATTCAATATTCGAAAATCAGATATATTTTTCATATTTTCCAGAAACAAGACATAATGGACAACAACTTGAGCGTGTACGGCAGCGATCCAGTCAGTTTGAGCAAAATGCGGTGCGTGAGTCCGAGCGAGTGCAAGCGCGCGAAGATTAGCTAGCTCAAAAAGCGCATCAAGGTCGTACCGTTGCGATGCTGTCGACTCGACTAGAGGTCGTACGATGTTCCAGTTCCAGTACCTTATTGTTTGTTTCACCTTTGGATCGATCCGTTCTTTACATTGGGACCACCATACGTTTCATCGTTTAATCACAACTTAAATGGATGATTCATTTATAGGCACTTTTTTAAAAACATGTAAAAGTTGATTACATTCAGTACACATAAATGAATTACTCGTTACGATACTACGCAGTTTTTTCAGCGAATTTGCGATAAAACAGCACCGACAACGTATAAAAGAAGTTGAAGTTGTGTCCTGTCACGTTTTGTTTGTAAATAGTGGCTTTTGCATGAAATAAACAGTCATATGCAGCTCTGATGGAAAGAAACATCGAGGACGACGGCGGCGTTCTATCAAAATCTGCAATAAAATGTAGTTTTCCATTAAAAAAAAACATTTTTTTTGTCAGCTAATAAAAGTAAAAACATTTTCGTAGGCTACATTTATTTTTTTATATACATTGCGTAATAACGGAGTTATCGATCGAGTTCTGTAAAGTGGCAATTTTGAGATTTGCCGTTGATAGTTCGACACAAGTTTTGAATTCTATGAATTTTTTTACCAGACCGTTTGCTCAAAAATTGATTTGAACCTTTTAGGTAAAATCCGCCTTAACCCACTCGACTTTGAAAATACGCTGTTTTTATTGAAAATTCTCCTTATCCAGTCTTTTGTCGTACTAGAAATATTGCCTCATTTTTCCACATCATCCTGGAAGTTGCAGAGCTGTGTAGTATCGTATAAGTTTGTGGTTTCATTCGGTTTTTCTCTATTTGACACTGTTCCTCGGGTGTTGCTTAATATAAGAAATAGTGCAATCTTTCTCATTCATTTTGATGAAAATATTGTAAGTGCCGTCAAATTCGTGTGACAAATAATAGTTGTATATAAATATATTAGATGTATTTGTGTCACTTATTTTCGTTGGTAGCAAAAGCGAGTCTTCGGAGCAAGCTTGCGATCAACTCGCGTGGTCAGGAAAGATTTTTTGTTTAGTGCATAATTCTGCGTCGCCGTAACATTTAAAAAACGTTCAGTTAAAAAAATTACTCATTAAACTTATTAAAGCATGACATTTCAGGAGAAAAAGAAACTGGGTTTACTTATCATATTCATTTTGACTAAATCGTGAATTACGAGTGTCAAGGTCTGCAAAATTGAAAAACTTTTTGCCAATTTTATGACCTTGAATGTGACATCAAGGTAATTTCAAGGTCAACGACATTTTTTAAGTGGCCCCATAATTTTGACGCCGGAAATGGATAAAGCGGAACATTTTACGTCGGTATGATGAGTCCTTAACATATAAAAGTCATGGTCAAGGTCTAATATCGGTGAAATGAACCATGAAAGTAAATTCTACCCAAGCATGGTCTTAGGTTTTTTCTGGATTCGCGACGGTGACATTGAATTCGACCTTGACCTTCAAGGTCATTCCAAGGTCAAGTCTATTTTTTAATTGAAATATGATTTCTTTAAGGCCCTCACAGGTCTTAAGTTTGAAATGCCCTTTGAGGTCAAGGTCAAACGCAAGGTCGCTTTAATTTCGATAATATTTTCCGGATAATTTCAAGTGATTCTCATTTCACTGACGAATTGTGAGCAGTAGCATTTGCGGATAGATTATACACTAAACTAAGAATCTTTCCCCAATGACTTTAGTTAATTTATTTAATTTATGGAGTACTAATTTATTTTCAGTACCTTAAACTGACTGACTTTATTTTGTTATGTAGTTTAATTTGTTGTCTTCTGTTTGCCATAATTCGCGCCGCCGACTTGTAGAATATTACTGTATGTTATCGATGTTGGATATTTTTCTATGATAAATGTTTTTACGTGAGCGAAAACATTCATTTTGTATGGAAAATCGTCATTCCAACATTTCTACGAAATTATCTACGCGTACTCGATGCTTTTTGGTTGGAAAGACCTATATACAGGGTGTCCCAGAAGTCGACGTCAAGCCGAAACCGGGTGATAGGCAAAGTCATAACAGCTATCAGAAAATAAATTAAAAAAAATTTATGTATGTGTTTTGAAAATTATAGGTCTTTGAAAAAGATATAGAAATTTCACACCCTACGGCAGTCTGTCAACTCCTGTTACTACAAATATTAACTTTTTTTGGATTTTATTTTTACAATGTAATAATGAATAATGCATCTTCAAACTGGTGTCTCAACCTTACTGCCAACTTTTCTCGTTCAGGAAAAATTGCCACTTATTTCCCAACCAAGTATTCCAAAGTAAAACTTTGCTCAACTTTAACTGGCTGTACTGGAAAAAAATGTACTACGAGAGTTTGGCAAGTAACCTTAAAAGTTGGCGCATTTGATAAGGATTCCAAAATGGTATAACACTTAGAAGATTACTCGTTAACTTATGCACAATTTTTATTTGAAGAAAAACTGATGAAAATTTTTTTAAATTTCCTAATTAAACAGCGATTATGAAAACGCACAAGGACCCTTAAGGATAACTGTTTGCACAACAGTGGGCGTCAAAATGCTGCTGATGATGATTTACCTTTACAGCAAATGCGCAAACTGTTTTCCTCCAGCCGCAATACACGCTCGACATCTTCTTAAAAAAGATCGGGTTATTAAACGAGCGAATCCACGGTTATTAACAAACTCAGCTGCTTCCAATAGTCTTTGCCGTAGCTTAGCTACATTTTGAATCGGCTTGAAATACACTTTTTCTTTTACAGTTCCCCAGTAAAAAAATCTAAAGGATTCAAATCAGGTGATCGGGCTGGCCACGGTATTGTACCAGACCGCCTTATCCATCTGCCTGGAAAGTTTTGATCTAGATACTCTCTCACTGAGAGTGCATAGTGCGCTGGGCAGCCATCATGCTGAAACCACATGTCCCTGTAAATACTCAGCAGTCAAAGTCTCTGGGAACTCAAACGTATTTTTACCATTTAAAATTCCTGTCCAATGGTTTATCTTGAAGCGATATTGAGATTTATCTTCTCTCATCAAATGTGGGTTTGCTACGTGCCACTCGTGTAAGTTATGCAGGTTCATGTACCCATCTTTCTTAAATGTGGTCTCATCCGACCATCAAATTTTTTCAAAGAACTGTGGATCTTTCCTGTGTCTTTCTAACATTGTGCGACAAAAAGCAACTCGGGGCTCATAATCCCGGGACAGGAGAGGTTGAACACGCTGTATGTGGTATTAAATGCGCCAACTTTTAAGGTTACTTGCCAAACTCTCGTAGTACATTTTTTCCAGTACAGCCAGTTAAAGTTGAGCAAAGTTTTACTTTGGAATACTTGGTTGGGAAATAAGTGGCAATTTTTCCTGAACGAGAAAAGTTGGCAGTAAGGTGGAGACATCAGTTTGAAGATGCATTATCCATCATTACATTGTAAAAATAAAATCCAAAAAAAGTTAATATTTGTAGTAACAGGAGTTGACAGACTGCCGTAGGTTGTGAAATTTCTATAATTTTTACAAAGACCTATAATTTTCAAAACACATACATAAAATTTTTTTAAATATTTTTCTGATAGCTGTTATGACTTTGCCTATCACCCGGTTTCGGCTTGACGTCGACTTCTGGGACACCCTGTATACAGGGCGTTACAGAATGTCGTCAAGATAACTTAAGGGCATATTCAGCATGAGAATATATGAAACAAATTCAATTCAAAACATGATGTTTCCATGATACAGCTTAAACTTTATGTACTTTGGTTTTTGAACAAAATAAGTAGTTTTGTTAAAACCATACTGACTCTATCAGAATTAATTTTTCATTATATTCGTTAAAAAAGCGCCACCTTGAAAATATTTAATAGCAACAAAGTTTTGTGCTGTTAGTTGTTGTTGTTGAAGATTTATTTAGCATTAATGCTACAATGTCAATTTTGTATAATGATTCGGTTAGATATTTTTCTTCAATCCGTTTCCGGTAATTTTACATTCTTGTCTATTAAAATTAAAATTGCTTCACTATGTATTTTGATTATTCATAAAGTGATTTTTTAATTTCACCTTAAACATTTTTAAATTCGAACTCTGTTTAATATCATTCAATTTATTAAATTTAAATATTCCCTTTTGAAATATAGATTTACTAGTAATGCTACTATTACAATTTTGCCGATGAAAATCTATACTGCCTCTAGTTGTGATAATGACTATTAAATTTTGTGTTCTCTAAATGTGGTGGTAATAAATGATTTTTTAATTTGAATATGAAAACGAGAGCTAAATAATATATGAAATTTTTCACATCCAACCACTGCAGTTCTTCTAACATAGACTTAATCCTAGCATATTTGTTTTTATTTAAAATGATCCTCATAGCTTTATTTTAATAGAATCTGTAATTTTGAAAATATTTGCTGTAAACAAGATGGTTGAACAATATAAAAAATGGGGAAGAATTATAGTGTTATACACAATTTTCTTGGAATACATACTAAGATTATGGGAAAATCTATAGAAGTAATTTATCTTTTTCGATATTTTTGAAATAATGTATTCATAATGTTCTTGAAACAGTTGCTTACTGTCCACATATATACGAAGATATTTAAATGACTCGACTACTTCAATTTTTTCATCATTAATCATGACCGTAATTGTCTGGTCACCTAAATGTTTCCCTATTTTTTTTTTAAATGAAAATCTGGAAGTAACAATTGTAAGATGCATTTTTTAAGTAGGATTAGTAACGAGGGGTACTTGAAAAGAAATCTGCCTAGCTAATAGATAAAAGACATACGTTTTTTTTTATAATTTTTCTTGCGTTATTTCTCCTCACAGCATTCTGCAACGCCCCGTATAGGTAATCTATAGACATGAAAATATCAAATTTGCCCCACATCTGCTTTGGTCGGTGTTGGAAAGATGATTTTCGACGCATCGTGTAGATAAGTTGATTGCTCAAAAGTATAATCCATCCATTGAAAATAAGTATATAAAAATAGTCTAAACGCAGGGTACACGATATTCCTCTTAAGCAGTACAACTAAGTGTTTTATGTATCCTTGCTATCATATGTATGTACAATAATTGTCTCTCTTAAGCTGTTTTTGTACTGATATACTATGCATAGTAGAACAAGGAAAAATGTTCGTTCGTCGACAGAAACTAAGTTATTTTATTCTTGGTCTAGTTCAGTTTGCTTAATACACGAGAACCAGGCGGTCGTGAGAGAGAGTGACCCCAAAATTCGCCTGTTTTTGCGCAGGGGATTCCGACCTTAGAAGCTTCCACAAGACCAGATTAAATAAATAAGTTTTTTATTCAACAATTAACTTATGTGAAATAATCCCGGAAATTGGGGGAACTTAAAATCCGGGAAAAGTCATTAGATTTTGGAGTCATTTTAACGCTTAAATTGGGGTAATTTTTGAATATTTACAAAAAAACAAAAAGTGGTGCGTTTTTGGTTTTTCATAACGAAAACTATTTTTTTTTGTTTCTCTTTCTGACACTATTTTTCTACATTCACGTTTAACATGGCCGAATATCAAAGTATGTACTTGATTTTAGTGTAAAAGTATTTCAAGTTTTCATCACCATTCTTTTTTTTAGTACTTGATTTTGCTTCAACAGCCAAAAATTCGCAATTTTGGCATTTTTGTCCAATTCCAAATTCGCATATTTTCGAATATTTAACTTAATGCTTTTCATGGGCGCGTGGTCTTTTTTTATTGTGTGCGCAGTTTTCATTCTTACATACATCAAAACATATTTTGTTTTATAATGTATATATATATATATATACATAAATCAGGAACAAAAACAGATGTTAACAACTATAGACCAACATCAATAATATCCAGTGTAGCAAAGGTTTTTGAAAAAGTTTTATCTACTAGAATGATTCGATACCTCACAAAATTCAAAATTTTAAGTGAAAATCAATATGGATTTACAGAAGGGAAGGCTACATCGGACGCAATAACTAAAATTGTAAATCAAATACATCAAAATATTGATAACATAATCCCTTCAATCTGCATTTTTGTTGATTTAAAGAAAGCTTTCGACACAGTTAATCACAAATTATTATTAGAAGCATTGGAGAGAATTGGTTTCAGAGGAAACGCGTACTCACTGATCGAAAGTTATTTGTCAAATCGCCCACAATCTGTGCAGATATCAGGATCATTTAGTAAAGAAATGTATATTAAGTGTGGTGTCCCACAAGGAACTGTCTTAGGTCCGCTGTTATTCAATATATATTTAAATGATATTTTCCAAATTAATTGTGTTGGCAAAATAACTAGTTTTGCAGATGATACTGCAATATTATATGAAGGCACTGACTGGTCTGATCTGAAAAATGTAATTGAAAATGATTTTATCAAAATTATTCGGTGGTTTAACAGTAGAAAATTAAGCATTAACTACTCTAAAACACATTTTTTACCACTTGGATCTTACGCTAGACATCTGCCAAATTACACAAATTTCTCCTTCAATATTAATAATCAAAAAATACAAATTAATAGAGTGCCCAACATAAAATACCTTGGAGTGGTCTTGGATCCTCACTTACGATGGGACATCCATGTCAATTATATTTTAAAGAAAGTTAGATTTGTATCCTACGAAATTAAATACCTTGGGAATCTATTGATAGAAAAATATCTTCGAACATTATACCATGCACTGATTGAACCTCATCTCACATATGGTATATTAGCATGGGGAGCTGCATGTTCCTCACATATCTATAATTTAGATGTTTTTCAAAAAAGTATTCTAAAAATGATATTTAAAAAACCGAAACTTTATCCCACTGAAAAATTATACGCAGATGTTCGAATTTCGAATGTATGATATAAGACAGCTTTATTTCTTACACAGTATCACTCACTACCATAAATTTGTAAACACCGACAAAAAAATTAAACATAATCATTATACCAGGTACAAAATTCGTGGCACAGTAGTTCCTCAACCGCATAAATCTATAATGCAGCGATCAT